TGCAATTCTTTTGTTGCTATTGCGCTAACTCCCTGCTTCATTGCTGTTGATATTGTTGCTGTTTCCCCGATATAAAAAATTCACTTGGGCGTGCCAGTTTGTCTCCGCTTTTAACCAAATAGCACCAACAACAATAACAATAAACAGAAGTGGAGCTCTACTCATAAATTGTGTGACGAACGCCAAAAGCAAATGATGTTTTACGAGCAGCTAATTTATTTAACACCTCAACAATAACAACAGCAACAATGACAACAATAATAGCCCAAGTCAAAGAATAAACTTTATTTTTATTTATTTAGTTCTCTCACATGGCCTTTTTTGATTGGAGTCACATTTTCTGTCTCTTCAGCTACTGTTTCTTAGCATTTGTTTTTGTGTTTGGTGAGGGTGGGGAAGGGAGGGAGGGAGGGGGGGGGGGGATTATTGCACAAACATATATGTACGTGCTGCGGGGGTGCAAATTGGGCATAAAATTTGACCAGTTAATTCATGAAAATACCGATTTCGTCAAGTTGCAAAGCATTTTAATTGATTTTTTATATTTTGCTGTTGTTGTTGTTGGGATCCCAACAGGGCGTATGATTAACATGCGGAGGATAAGTGAAAGACTCAAATTGTTTGTTTATAAGGCGGATAAAGGCGGCATCTAATGCTGATTAAGCCAGCTTTGCGCGGGTGTCACAAACTTGGATGCGGCCCAAACCAAATACGGTCAAATGTTTGTGGCTAAAAACTCAAAAATGTTTCAAGTTCTCTTTTTTTTTTATTATTTTGCTCGCTTATGCGTTTGTTCGTTCGTTCATTTGGTGTTGTTGATTGATTGATTAGTTGCCTTGATGCTTTATTAACGTTTGATCTTTTATGAGGCACTGTTGTTGCCATATTGCAGCTTCTGGTTAAGATTCAAACACCTACCTTTTATGCCCTTTATATGTCTTACACGAGCATTCATATGCAAATCATATTGTATTGCGTGGAAGTTGTCAATCATTGATTGTCCAAATTGCACAAACATTTCTGTTATTTTTTTTATTTTTTTTTGACAGACAGAGTCCAAGTGAAAGGCTTTGTGGGTGTGAACTGTTCATTAATTAATATGCATTTGGTGCAGAAATTAAAAAAAGAAAAAACACAACGCACACACACATAATAGTAGTAAAGAAAGAAGATTTTTAGGTTTGCAAATTCGAGTCTGTTGCAAACAAATTGTTCAAGTCTGCGCAATTCGCTGCGTTGCGACTTTTAATTTTGTGGTTTTGCAACAACAACAAAGCAACCGACAACAACAGCCTCAACATCAGCAGCAGCATCAGCAGCAACAACAACAACAACAGCAGTTAAGCAAATAAATCAATTTAAACAAAAAGTAAATATCCTGCATCTGTACCATCATTGATGAGCGCCAATAGCAAAACGAATGTTGTGCTTCAGAGACTGGGATTGAGGGGCACAGTGGGTTAAAGTAGTCTATTAAGTGGAAAACCATTTTAGCACTCTACAGTAATTCAAACAATTGTGTTTCTTTTGGCAAAATGTATTCGTTTTGTTGTTTTTTGTGTTGTATACAATCTTAACATAAATAGGCTACATAAATAAGCCACATAATTGGGACAACTAAAGAATTTAATCAAATTTAAAGGCAAATGTAAAGACTAAAGACTAACCACACTATTTTCAAGAGAAAATCTAAACTCAAACACACAACTTTACACTACATGACTTCAAAAAACAATTCGACAATCTAGCAACTATCTTGTTGTTAAACCAATGGTCGGTCTAGAAATAAAGAGCACAGAAACATATCTTCAACATAAACAACAATCAAAAGCACAGTTAAGGAAAACTTTCAGCTAAGTAGCAGTAAGCATTGCCTATAAGGATTCAGTAATTATCAGAATAAAAACATACACAGACTTGGTAATTGACAGGAAAATATAATCATCGATAATACCTAACAGCCATTAACTTGTTTGGTTTATTCAGAAAATTAGGTGCGTTATTCTGAAAGCTATTGCATGATATTTCAAAGACTTACTCTTAAGCCGGTTTTGGCAGCTAAGCAAAAATAATAATAATAATAAAAAAGTAGAATAGAAAATGCTATACAAAACTGAATTGTTCGACTATCTAAGATATTACAAATAATAAGCTTTTTACAGTAAAAATTTACCATAGGGTGGAGTTTTCAAATTTTGGAAATACTTTGCTTTCGGGTTACTTTTCCTATAAATGATCTGAAAGACATAAAAACACTGAAGATTGTGAAACTGGGTAGTTGAAAATACTGTCACTTATAAAGCCATAGGGAATAAATGGCCTCACAATGGGCCCAATAATAGTTCAAGCCATCGTATACTAACCTTATCGAACCATCTCTAAAACTAAACTTATCTTCAATTGATTATTAACTATTGTTTTCTGAAATTGAATACAAATTATTCTTTTCGGAACTAAAATAAAAATGAAATGATTTAAACTAGAATATTGTAGCTGGGCTGGAGGGCATGTCCAGTAACAATTGATTCTTGGGCCAGAGTGCAGCGGCAGCTGGAGCAGCAAAATCAGAAGAAGGAAGAAGAAAATGGCAATGGCAAAAAATAAATAAACATAAGTCTGCCAGCCCGACTGGCGGATCGGCGAATACATATGTATAAGAACAGCTGATTGCAGCTGATTTCTGATGTCGAAAGCAAAATGTTTGGGAGGGCAAGAAAATGCGCGCACGCAAATCAAAAGGGCTGTGGGTCTATACACACACACACACACACACACACACACACACAGGCACACACCCATACACACATGCATATGTATATGTGTGTGCGACAGGCATGACGGAAGCGGCAGCAGCAGAAAAAAATGAATTAAAAATCTAATTGCGCGCCTGTTGAAACAAAGACAATAAAAAAAAAAGAAATGCGGCAGACGATGGCTACGATGATGAAGAAGAAGTGGCAGCCGATTGTAAGGGGAGGGGGAGATTGAGAGGGATAGGGAGAGGCAGAGGCAGAGGTAGAGGTGGAGGTGGAGGGTTTCGGGCGGACTGAGTCGCACTTAGTCGAGTTACAGACGCAGCTCAAACGTCATGAACCGCAACGCAACAATAATGACAACAACAAACACAACTTTGGGCTGGGGCTCATGCGCCCCAACAGGCAACCGCAAAGGTCGACTGCACTGCCAGTGTGTGTGTGTGTGTGTGTGTGTGTGTGTGTGTGTCTTTGCCTTTGTGTATGGCTGTGTGTGTGTGTGTGAAGTTTTCAAAGTTTTCCAAGTGGAGCTCAACAGCGAGCAAAATTAATGCGAATTTAATTAAAATGTGCAACTAGCAACAACAGCAGCAACAATAATAATAACAGCAACAACAACAACAACAGCAGCAGCAGCAGCAGCAGTGGCAACAAATTCTAAACTGAGCTTTTGAATTGTTGCCTGCCACATGGAAAAAGTAGAAGAAGCAGAAGCAGAAGACGACGTAGAAGTCGAAATGGAAGAGGGAATATGTGTAGATGAAGACTATGTAGACGGCTGGAAAAATTGCAGTTGTGGCGCAGGCGCAGCGTTGTGTACATGTGTGTGTGTGTGTGTGTGTGTGTGTGTGTGTGTTGCATAAAATTATTTCGGTCTGGTGAATATTAGCAGAGCGTGAAGTTGGCAAATAAGAAATTCAGTAAAAAAAAAGTAAATTTCATTAAACAAAAACTGAAGAAAGACGCAATTGCAGAGATACGAGTAGAGAGACAGAAAGGGAGTGCATGAGAGAGAGAGGGAGAGAGATAGAGTGGGAGAGATATATTGGAAGAGAATTGAATTTAAAATTAAAATATTTACAATTACAGATCCATATTTTCAAATCCGAGACGAACAATTTCAACAGACAATGCAATCGTATGTATAGGAAATTATAAAACAAACCACCCGCTTCCTATTACCAATTTATAGCAATTACAAGAAATTAATAAATGTTCCCATATTCCAAAATCAATGAACGAGTAGTATTCCGTTGATAAGTAAAACTCTAGGTACACAAATAAAAACCTTTCAAACAGAACTATTTCCCACAAGCCCATCTGAATGGAAACAAACGTATTTGCAACCTGCATGAAAAAATTAAAGTTCGCATATACTTGTAGTACTTAGGAGGGAAAGTGTATTTAAATTGTTGCCAACATGTTCTAACTTAGAAGATATATATTTCATATGTTTTTTTAAAGCACTTGAATTACTGGACGAGTGCAATAATTTTTGTACGTGAGTTAATTTGTTTACTTTTGTTTGGGATTTGAATTAAGTATGAGACCCAAATTCCACCTTTAATATTCTTCAAATAGGCACTAAATACTCTCATTTGACGGGATTAACATTATAAGATTATCTTCTGTTGTTTTCCATCAACAACTAAACTTTAAAAGCTCCAGAACACAGCAAACAAATTTCGTCACTTGTAATTAGTAAGCAGTTATAAATATAAAATTATAAACTAGGTGAATTGGGCGAATTACACATCAATGGCACCGAATTGAAATCAAGATATTTGCTAACTTTGTGGAAATCTGTAAGCCTAGCTACATCAATCTCTATAAATTTGATAGCAAAAGAATCAGCAACATGACTGTATAATTAAGCTCTTTAGTTCGTAAAGCTATATATAAAATGAAAATACCGATTTGAAAACGCCGATTTGAATCGTACACTCTACAACTAGACGAGACGACGGCTGTAGATAATGGTACCCAATTGAAATAATTGCAGCTCCCTCTATGTGTTTTGCCTAATTTCAAAAGGACTATACGCAATCGTACGTTGCGAAACTTTTAAGTAAGTGTATGTAGTCGGAAAAGCAATTAAAACGCTCTTTAACAGAATAATGGTGTAGTTGTTTTTAAAACTAGAGCGACATTTGTCAAAAGTTGAAATTGTAATGTTTTTAGAATGCAAGCACTCCATGAATGATCTCTTAGAATTATTATGTGTGTAATCAAAATTTTTCAACTCACTAGTTCCGTTCACTACCATCTCAATCGCATCAATGACCGCTTTGGTCGCCCGCCGCGGCTGTCCCAGTATGCTAAAGTTTCCCGGCTGTTCCTGCTTAACGAACAGGATGTAGTGTTCGCCCTGCTCCAGCATATCCCTTTGCACCAGACCGCGTGAGCGGAGTCGCTCCCGATATATGTCGCATTCGCCGCTATTCTTGCGCACGTCGAACTGAAGTCGAACCCAGTTTGTTGTCTGCACCTTCTCCTGCTGCTTATACACGTGCTGCACCACGAATGAGGCTGAGAAATTCACCCTCCGATCCGATGACATTGAGACAAGTTTGCCCCGGAATATGGTGGGGGCAACGAAGGCGAGTTGCGAAGGATCATGTGCTGAGCAGTAGCGACCACTTCGATTACGTCCGTGCTTGCGTGGATGTTTCCGTCGCTGGCCACGATTACGTTGTCCCCCATTACGGCGATTCCCATATCCACGTTGCGGATGTTGTTGCTGCAATTGGTTTCGATGTTGCTGCTGCAGTTGTTGAAATTGTTGCTGACTGTTGCTGCCTAGACCGGCAATGTGATTGAAGTCGCGTCTTTGGCGCATTGAGCTTTCGTAGGATGTGAGTGAAGTGTTGTTGCTGTTACTGTAGTTGTAATTGTTGTTGTTGCTGCCATCGCTTTGTGGCATGCCTTTGAATAATAATTTAAATATTGGACTATTGTTTAGCGTATTTGGAACTTGATGCTTTGATGCTGACTGCGTCGCCGCTTTTGCAACATATTGCATGCGTGTTTCAGCAATGTCCTGCGCAGGTGTTGCGAATACTGTTGCTGGCTTTAACTTAATGATGCTATTGCTACTGCTAAGACTATTGCTGGGCAGCTGTCTCTCACTGATTTCGCTGCTTTCGCTGCTTTCACTCTCTGCGCTCCCTCTGCTGCTGCTGCCATTTTCCAACGGTATATAGTAGCTTTCCTCTTCGTCTACTCTTGCTCCTTCTCCTCCGCCTTCTCTTTCTGCGCCAGCAAATGTTGCTGTGACATGTTGCAGGCCGTTGCTGCTGCTCTGTAGCTGTGTGGGAGATGCTGCTGCCAAAATGTTGCCCGTCGACCCACATGTGATCACTAGCAACATGATGCTGATGCTGAGAAAAAGCGGTATTAATGGCATTAGTTTCGTTTTTAGACTCCATTTGCGCACATGTTGCGCATTCATGGCGTCCTCCAAAGTTATTTTTGTTGTTGGTTAGCTTTATTATTATTTACACAAAGCTGTTTTTGTTTTTTTGTTTGTTTTGTTGTTGTCAGCGTGTTTGGGCGTCTTTGGGGGCGCGTCACTTCAGAGTCACTTGCAAGTATCAACTTTTCGCTTATATATTTTTGTTAAACAATTGGATTTACAAGTATATGTCGTTTGTTTTAGCGAAGATTTTTTATCTCGTTGGTGCGTCGTCGTTGGGTCTTGTCGTATTTTCGTTTATCCTGCAAATATTTTCGATAATTTCGTAGCATTTTTAGGCACGTTGGACGAGACGTTGCAGTCAAAAGATTTGTAGTTTTTTGTTTAAAATTTTTAAATTTTCTTTAATGAGTTGCTGCTTGCTAGCCTGTCAGAAAACATTTAGCATAAAATTTTTACCAAACACTTGATTTGTTGCTGCTGTTGCTCTTGTTGTTGCTTATGTTGTTGTTGTTGCAAATGAGTCATGTTGCGAAAAATCTTTAAATAAATAAAAATGTTTGCGTATCGTTTTTGTTGTTGCCGTTGCCGTTGCCGATGCTGACTTGTCTGCGAGACACTTTGTATTTTTTTTTACACTAAATTTTTACTATTTATTTTGAATTGAATTGAAAATTTGTTGTTGCTTTTGTGATTATTTAGCAAAATTTTGCACAGAATCGTTTTTTGTTTGTTGTTGTTATAATTGAGATGTTGTTGCTGTTGTTGTTGTTATCTGTACTCAGCTCGTAGCTGTTAGCTTTTCTTTCGCGCGTCACTCTTGACTGATTTGTGCGTTCGAGTCGTCGAACTTGTGCGCTCACTTGTTCGGATCGGTTCGCTTCGGGTTGGTTCGGTTCGGTTCGGTTCGCACACTCGGTCGCTGCCCAACTTGTGTGGGTGGCTGTTGTTCGTTGGGTGGTGGGTGTAGGGTGTTTGGTGTGGGGGACAGGGGCTTTAGCGGGGGTTCACACACACCTAAGGTCGCGTGCGCTTTTGCAGTTTTCGTTTCTGTCGCTGGAGTTGTTGTTGTTGATTTTTTGTTCACGGTTCGAACCGACAACGAAATAATTTTCCCTGACAATTTTCACGCGCGCGCGTTATACGAATGGCAGGAGGTTTCGGTTTCGGTTTTGTCTTCGGTTTCGGTTTTTTGGACTTCGTGTTTTGTGCTTGTTGTTGTACTTTTTGCTGTAATTGTAATCCTCGCGCGCACGTCTTCGTGTCTGTGAAATACTTTACTTATTTGTTGCTGTTGTTTTTATTTGATTTTTTTGTTTTTGGTTTGACGCGTCACGCTGCCGTATACGCGATATATAGAGACGCCTGCCGCCTGCCTGGTCGTCGTTGTCGGACAAATGTCTTCTCTACTATATAGACATATAGACGTAGACGTTAGTGGTCTCTGATTCACAGATTCTGGCCGCACAACGCACAGATGCGAGTCTCGACGTCTATGCGAGTCTGTCTGTCTATCTGTGTGTGCGTGTGTGTGTGAGTTTTTCTGGCACACAAGCGGGCAGGCACGGCGGCTGCTTGACTGACTTTGGGTGCCGTTTCTGATGCTTCTGCTGCTGCTGCTGCCTTCGTCTCTCTGATGACGATGATGATGTGCGATATACCAGCAGCAGACACACACACACGTCTAATTTTAGACAAAAGTAATTATAAATGAAAAACAACAACAACAACAAATATATATATATATATCTACACACACATATACATATATATACACATATATATATTTGTATATATAAACCGGAGCAACAGAGTGCGCGCAGCTCATACGCATATATCTATGCTTCGGATATACTCGTATATATAGACAAAAACAACAACAAATTGTACATCTATATAGACGAAAGTCGGCGCGGCATAATATTTAAAAAGGCTCAGACACAGACGGTTTTTGTTGTTGTTACAAAGTTGTGTAAAAAAAATTCACTTTGATTATTTTTATAAATTAAAATTTTCTTTTTTTTTTTTTCTTAAATTTTTTCTCACTTTTGTAATCTTGAAGTTCAACGTAGTGCAGTTTTGGCAAATTGCTCCACTTATCATGCACTCATTGAATTGAAACGTCTTAATTTTTGTCACCGCACAAAATTTATTTTTTGAAAATATATAAATTATTTAGTAAATTTGTCGCGAATTCGAATTGTATCATCAGTAGATATATGGTACACGTATGTATATAGGAAACACGCACAGTTTGCATTTAGAAGTTGCCTCAGTTGTGTTTGACTTTTCCAATTTTTCTTTATCAGCTCTTTCGGCTTTTGGTTTTGCGTTTACGCGCGTCGTTGACTCGTCGCCGTTGAGTGTTAGCCGCGTACTAGCGGCCAAACTATTTGCTGGCTCTGTTAGCCGCACAACGTAAGGCGCTGGCGTTACGACATATGTTGCATCGAGCATTGAACATGTTCGAGCTTTGCGAAACGCAGCGTACGCGGCACGACACATACGACAGAGCACGATCACTGCAACATGTTTGAGTCGCTTCTTGGATGCAACTCGTGACGTTGCAACATGCCAGAAGAGCAACAGCAGCCAAAGTTTAACGTAACGCAATGTAAATAACGTAAGCATGCTTTCTAACTAAGTATGTTTGCACTTAAGTGGGCTTCAGCAGCAACTCAAGAATTTTAAAACAAATTAAATTAATGAAACTAATTAAATAAATCGCCAAATCCCTTTTGGATTGATCCAAAAATATATAAATATAGCAAATTTGATTTGATAGCTCTAGAAATGTTTAAAAAATATTCTAAATAAATTTTAAATAATAATTTTAATTTTAAATTTTTTAGCTACAAATTTTTAGTACAATGTAAAAAAAGCATATTTTTGTGAAAAAGTAACAAATTAAATCCAATAAAATTTGGAAATATAACTTTTAGTTAATTAATTAACTTCGATAAATGTCCAATATCATACCTCTGATTAGACAAACGCTTCTCAGCCTTTTAGAGTCAAAAACTTGTAAATAATTTTTGGGTTGAAAGTACAAAAAATACTGTGATCACTTGAGAATATTTAAAAAGCACTCTTCACTACTTATTGATGGATTTAGATTGAATTCGACTTGCCTCAATGCGGTTGCAAATGAAACTAGATTGTGAATCAGCGAAAGGCTTCTTATAAAGCCCAGTCAAATCACACTGCGCGCGCCAAAACTATAAAAACTGATAAGAGAAATGCGGTGCTTGGTGCTTACCCCACTTTTTTGCACATTGATATTTTCCAACGTGTATTCATATTTGTATGCATGCCTATTTGATTATAGCCTCTATCAAAATAGTACAAGGGTATATTAGAATTGTGCAAAGTGAAAATTATATCAGGCAGAAAGAAGCATTTCCGATCCCACAAAGTATACTTATTCTTGATCAGAATTAGAAGACGATTCGATTGAACAATGTCCGTCTGTCTGTCATCCGTTCGTGTGAACAGCTAGATCTTAGGGACTATAAGAGCTAGAGACACAAAATGTTGCACCCAAATGCCTTATATATGTGTATGTATGCATCCCTCACTTCTTCTGCTATTAGTGATAAGACGAGTCGATATAGCCTTGTCAGTTGATCCTTCCGTCCGTCGGTCCATCTGTCCGTATGAACGCAACAATGTCAGAAAGTGTAAAGGCTAGAATAACAAAACAAGTCCGGAAAAAGAAAAGTTTTTTTCTTTCGTGATTTTCGATAACTCACGTAATTTTTGGAACTTTTTCAAAATTAAAAGTTAAGAGCTATGTACAATTGGCTAGTACTTATGTAACGAAACGAACGAATCATGTCAACAATTGAATATGAAAAGTTAGAGAAAAATGTATATTATATATGTATATTATGTATATTGTTGGGCCTTTTTTGTTTTTTTGATTTACAAATTCAAAATGATTAGATTAGGTTTTGGATTGGACGTTGTTATCGACAATATGTACATGTGTTTTCTGTTCTTTTTTTTTTGCAATTACTTCTAATTTTGTTGTGAGAACAACAACAACACTGAACGAACAAACGCCGCCAAAGCAAAGACTTAGATAATTTTATTTTTTTGGCTGTTTTGTGAAAAAGAAACCCAACGAAAACGAAAACATTTAACACACACACACACAATATACAAACATAATCGTACATACATATATGTACAAAAACA